GAAGAAAACTAGGTTAGTGGAAGGAGAGAACAGTTTAAAATTCTAAGATAAATGAATATTTTATCTTAAAAATCTCTCTTTACTATCTAGTCATTTGTTGAAAACAAATTTTTCCTAAAGAATTCAAGCATCAATATTGAAATAAAGACATTTCAGAAATGTAAAAACCATGTATACTCTCAGCTCATAATGCTACTTACCTTAGATTACTTCCTATTATTTGTAACCCACGATGCTGTCTCACATCCTACAATAAACAAAAATCTTGCACTATCATTTTGTGTTTCCCCAAAACTTGATCACAGAAAGTAGAAATTTTTCCACCAGGAGTAATCTCAACACACAAGGGATCATCCGGATAATCAAGGATGAAGAACATTGTTGAGCATCTCTGGGAGTTATATGGTAAATACATGAATTTGGGGGAAAAAATTAGAAAGAAATAGAGGTATACGAAACTATTTGACACTTGATTTTTTTATTAAGAAAGAGAATTGTGTTGGCTTTCAAAGCAACCTGAAATGGGATAGACATATTGCCAATGCTAGCAACTGAACATATTTTTAAAAACAATATGCAAGAATAAAAATATTCTACCATTAATACCATTTTAAAATGTCAAACTGTGAAGTATTGTGACATACATGAGAAATATTTTAAATAGAACTGACATAGTTTGTGATTGTCTCAAACCAATAAAATGTCTAACAGCGTGTATTAGTTGAAACAATAGTTGCTAATGTAATACAGAAATCCTTAAATTTCTTGCTCATATTAGAGTTCATTGAGGGAATTTCTAGTCTGGTAGTTTTTATCTGTGTTTCTACAATTGTCAACATACTCTTCCCCTGGGTATTTCCTTCATTGCAGCCATCCATCAAGGGAAAAATTTAAGCCTGGCCTGGGAATGGTGCAAACCACTTAGTTCCACATTTTACTGACCAATATTCAACGGAATGACTCCATCTAGCAAAGGAGGTGAGGGAATATAGCCCAGATTCATGCCCATGAGAAAGAGGAAAGGTATTAGGAGGCATGCAGACACGCTGCTGTGTATATCCCCAGCAGTCTTCAAAAAAGTAGAGATGAATGAAGAAGTTTATCATCGGCCTAAATTTTATTTCCAATTGTTTATTTCATGTTTTAGTACAAATTTAAACTTACATAAATATTAAAATTCAGCGGTTTTCTTTTATCCAAAAAATAGTGTCCGCTTCCTGCGTTTGATATGACTTTTTTATTTTTTCAAACTTTTTGGGCATTTGATAACAAGCAAAACAATGCTTTTCAGTACCCAAGTAATACTGAATTATGACTACAATATCAACTCTTAGTAACTCTGGGAGTTATTTGTGTCCAGTTGTGTGTTTTATCCATAAACAGTAGGATGAAACAAGGTTACCAAATTACCTTTATAACTCAGAATCCTAAGTGACCTGGGAAAATCAAGGGCAATTTTGCAATTGCTAGAAAGTTCTGGAAGGTCAAAATTCTCCCACATGTGCCTGTATGACTGCTTTAATTTTAGCACCTCATAATTAGCTAGTATTTTGTTCTCGAAGTTGGCAACTTTATTAATAGACTCTATTTGCAGTTAGTAGTTTTATACAGAGCTAGTATGAAATGGTAAATTATTCTCTGAACAAAACATTTGCATTTTTAAAAAGTAGCATTACACAAGGACACTTAAATAAGAAAGTTAAATGAGCAATGCCCTGATCAATTCATGACCTTGGCCTCAATGCCTCATATTTTAGCTAAAAGAGATGTCTGGAGGCATATTTCTATTAATAAGAAAATGAACTCCAAATAAAAGCTCAGACAAACAAGATAACACATACTGAGTTTATTTAAAGGGGAAAGTGTTAAACACTATACCACTTTTTCTTTCTCTTGTGATTTCCAAAGAATTACTAGACTTGGGGTAAGGGATTTTAAAGAATACATATGGAAACTTTATGGGTTGAAACTGTGAAAGATTTTTTTGGGTCTAATTGAAAGAGTACGTATGTTTTTTGTTAAATTTGATCTAGATAAATTAGTGAGAAACACACCAAGCAAGTTTATATTCATCTTATTCTTGAAAACGCCAAAATTAATACATTTGGAGAAGTTCTCCAAACGCAGAAAACTGTACACATAGCCCCCTTTAATCTATGGGGATGCATTTTAATACAACCAGGAGATGCCTGAAACCTCAAATAATACTGAAACTTATATATACTATGTTATTTCGTTATGATAAACTACAATAACTACTAGAAGACTAACAGGCAGGTAGCATCCAGAGCCTGGGTGTGCCGGACAAAGGGATAATTTATGTCTAGGGTGGGACAAAGTAGGATGGCACAAGATTTCATCATCCTACTCAGAATGGCACACACTTAAAACTTGTGAATTGCTTATTTCTGGAATTTTCCATTTATTGCTTTCTGACCACTGTTGACCATGGGTAACAAACCATGGAAAGTGAAAATTTAGATAAGGGGGGACTACTGTATCCCATAGCAAAGCACTCTACCACTTTCTCCACAGAGACAAAAGCACTATACCACTTTCTTCTTGGAGTCCACAGGTTGCCATGCCAGTAAAAAAGAATTGATAATAATGAACATGAGGGAGAGAATAACTTTTCACAGCTTGAACAAGAATTCTTATTTGTTTTACATATGATTCACACATCCATGATTTACATATATCCTGTGAAGGATTTTCTGGTAATTATATCATCTAATAAATTTTGTGCGAGAATATTATAAAAACAGAATGTTTATGAAAGGAGAAAACTATTTGGTTAAGTGTGTTTCCATATGCGTCTCTCTCCTACCTCATCCCTCAGTATCTTAGCTCCTCCTCTGACTTAAAATTCTTTGTTCTTAGATATTATAAAGCACCATTCTTATTAGGATTAGGTGGTATCTCAATGTGGTTTTGATTTGCAATTCTCTGATGATTAGTGTGGCTGAGCACTTCTTCATGTGTCTGTTGGCCTCCCGAATATCTTCTTTTGAGAAGTATCTATTCATGTCTTTTGCCCATTTTTAAATAGGTCTATTTGTTTTTTCCTTTCAGCACGTTTGAGTTCCTTGTAGATCCTAGATGTTAGGCCTTTGTCAGATATACAGTTGGCAAATAATTTTTGCCATTCTGCCTGCTCTCTTGATGGTTTCTTTTGTTTTGCAGAAGCTTTTCAGTTTTATGAGTACCACTTGTCTATCTTATCTCTTATGGTATGGACAACAACAGATGCTGGTGAGGATGCAGAGAAAAAGGAGCTCTTCTACAATGCTGTTGGGAATGCAAACTGGTGCAACCTCTTTGGAAGACAGCGTGGCAATTTCTGAACAAACTAGAAATCGATCTTCCATATGACCCAGCAATTCCCCTATTGGGAATATACCTGGAGGAACTCAAATCATTTTACCATAAGAAATACTTGCACACTCATGTTTGTTGCAGCTCTATTCACAATAGCAGAAACATGGAACCAACCATGTTGCCCATTGAAGCTGGACTTGATTTTAAAAATGTGGTATGTATACACAATGGAACATGATGCTGCTATAAAGAAGGACAGACATATGAACTTCACAGCAACTTGGATGAATTCAGAGTCTACCATACTCAGTGATCCATCAAAGAAATAAAAAGAGTACCATATGTTCTCACTTATAAGCGAACCTTGAATAATGATCATAATCTATAAGAAAGGGATTGGCAGTAGTGGTAAACTGCCAGGGGAGGAGGAGCGGGATTGGCAGTTGAGTGAAAACTGCCAGGGGAGGGAGGGGCACACCTCAACAACAAGAGTACCTGCATAATGACCATTTGTATAATGCTCAACCCTGAATAATAAGCATTATGAGCAACCCCTACCCCACATATTTAAGATAAAGAAAAAAAAGAAATTATAAAACACAAACAATAACACTGCAAAACACGATAAGGTCTTTCATTAGCTGAAATATTCATTTTTCTTGAGTTTCATTTCCTATCATGGTCCAACTTCCAATTTGTCTTTGGATAAACTATTAAAATATATCCTGGAATTCAATGTAGACTCCAACAGCCCTTATTTATCATATCTTTATGCTGATTTTTTGGTGCAGAACATCTGCCCAACATCTTTGTGGATTGGTTAAACTCTGCTTTTCTTTCAAGATATAGCTTGAAACTATGTTGATCATGTTCAGACATAGTTGTGTCTCTCCAACCTGCTTCCTCAATACTGTGTTCTTGTATCTATTAGTGTGTTTTCACAGTGTATTGTGTTTTTCATATAATTCCCTGTGTTCAGAGACACCAGAGAGCGTGTTTTTTCTCTCTGCCATGTGAGGACACAGTGAGAAGGCAGCTGCCTATAAAACAGGAAGAGAGCTTTAACCTGACTATGGTGACACCCTGATCTTATAGTTGGATTGATGACTATTTGAACAGTGAAAAAATAATATTTTATTGCTTAAGCTGCCCAAACTATGGCATTTTGTTACAGAAGCCTAATCCACATAAGTATATCTATTAACTATAAACTATAATGCATAATATTATATGTATTGGTAAACACATACATTCATATACACACTAACTGGTTAGATCAAAAATATCATTGGAGAGTACATGCCAAATTGAACATTGGGTGATATATCCTGCCTGGGTAGAATGAGAAAAATAAAAGTCTATTTTTCACCACTGAAATCATTAATCAGCTTTTAGCTATTAATCTATAATTATAAAATTATAATGCTTATTTAAAGTTTGCATAAATTATTTTTACAGTATCCATTACTCATCAAAGCATTACTAAAGTAAGTATTTTATACTAAATTATCATGTTAACTATATTAAATTTTAAAATAAATCTTATGGGATGTCAATTTAGAAAATCTTTGGATCTGGAAGTTCATTTCATTACTAAATTCATATTATATAAATTTTGAGAGTTCTCCCCCCCAAAATCTCTAAACACTTTATGTATTCTAAAATCTGATAGAAATCAATACCTATATTCCTCTTGTGTGAAGCGAGGGATTTCTCCGGGATGTAAGACAAGAATTTTCACAGTAGCACTGCTGGACATTATGGGTTCACCATCATCAAAAGCAACGACCACCAACTTAAAAAGTAACAATTATACATGTTAATGATTATAGACAAAAAAACAGCAGCATCATTTTTATACATATGTTTTTGTTTTTTGGTTCTTTTTGAGTTGGAGTCTCAATCTGTTGCCCAGACTGGAGTGCAGTGGCTGCTTCCGGCCACTGCAGCCTCGACCTGCTGGGCTCCGGCGATCCTTCTGCCTCAGCCTCCCAAGTAGCTGGGACTACAGGTGCGTGCTACCACGCCCGGCTAATTTTTTATTTATTGTAGAGATGAGATCTCGCCAAGTTGCCCAGGCGGGTCTCGAACCCGTGGGCTCAGGTAATCCACTCACCTCAGTCTCCCAAGGCGTGGGATTACAGGCTGAGCCACCGATCCCGGCTTACATATGTTTTTAATCATTGGACTGCTTGGTTCCAGGAAGGGGAGCAATAACCACTTCCTTACTGCCAATTGACAGACACTGTGCTAGGATATGTCACATTCTCACTTACTATTTATAAAAATTCAGCCAAGTAATTAGTATTGTTTTAATTGACAGATAAAAAACCTCAAAGAAGTTACTAATTCTGTGATTTAAAAAAAAAGCCTACCAATAAAACAAATATATGATATCACATCGCTCAAATTATAAACTATTTTCCACAATTCCACTGGTACTCACAGTATACACATGTGATTTTATAGTTCCAAAACACTTATTTAAAAAGTGTTAAATTCAATCACATTAATAGCAAAAGCTAATTAGTTTGTTCATAAAAGAAATTATTTTTTCTAGTGAATTAATTGTTTTTGAGATTATAGGGCAAAAATACTTTACTCTGGAGGACAAAATAGGAAATCTTTATAGTAACACACTTGGTATACAATCTCTTAAAACAACTGAACTGTATAAAGCCAAATTCACATGGTATAGTGGAAATTGTTCAATTGATGCAGACTAAAAAAAGCTTTCTTATAGGTATGTGATATGTTTAAATTATTCATTACTGTAATTGCTTTTATAACTGATCATTTCTCTAAAAACCTGTATTACACGAAAAATAATTTTAACTTTTCTTTTCTTTCTTTCTTTTTTTTTTTTTTTTTGAGTTGGAGCCTCACTCTGTCACCCAGACTGGAGTGCAGTGACCGCTCCCGGCCACCGCAGCCTCGACCTGCTGGGCTCCGGCGATTCTTCCACCTCAGCCTTCCAAGTAGCCGGAATTACAGGCATGTGCTACCAGGCTGATTTTTTTGATTTATTGTAGAGATGAGGTCTTGCCGCCCTGGCGGGTCTCGAACCCGCGGGCTCAGGCAATCCACTCACCTCAGCCTCCCAAAGTGCGGGATTACAGGCTGAGACACTGAGCCCGGCTTAATTTTTCTTTTAAGATATGTTAAATATTTTCAAATTTATGTGCATCTATGGAATATATATTCTTTTGGAAACTGCAGGAAATTCACTTAAACTAATTCAGTTTAGATTGTAGAAGATCATAACCAAGTATTATCTTGAGGTTCTCCACTGACCTTTGGGTTAATACTAGTTTAAAAACAGAACAGCTATTCTAAACAGTGATAAAATCACATAGGATATAATGTCCATTGATGTTCACATGTTTAACTGAAAAAGATACTTCCTAGCATAGAGTCAAAGGCTTTAATCACAGTAACAAAAATTATTCTAAGAAATTTTTAAGAATGGAAATATTAAAATGTTTAATAAAATAGAATGCTTATGGTAATAGATAATACGTTTTCAATATTTTCTTGACATGTAGAAACAGGCATTATTTTGTCAACTATATTTTTAAATATCTATTTCACTGGTAATTAAAGTAAAATTTAAAAATAATCTAAGAACTATATATATTTTCCTAAAGATATGCAAAGATTAGAAATAAAATTCATAGTTGGGTGGTATTAGGAAAATGGATACACTTCGGAAAGATGAGAATGTGTAGAAAGGGGTAATTTAAAAAGTTTTTCTAGAAATAGAATACACATGTATCAAGAGTATATCAACTTGATCCAGCAATTTAGCTTGATGGTGCTTATGTTTAGGGTGAAAAAAGAAAATTAAGCCAAGCCAGTTGACTATGCATGTTATCCCAGCACTTTGGTAGATGGAGGCCTGCCTGAGCCCAGGAGTTCAAGACAAGCCTGGGCAACTTGATGAGAGTTCATCTCTACAATAAACTAAAAAAAATGTCGGGTATGGTGGCGCATGCCTGTAGTTCCAGCTACTCCAGAGACTGAGGAGAAAGGATCACCTATGCCCAGCAGATCAAGGTTGTGATGGCTGTGAGTCATGCCACTGCACTCCAGCCTGGGTGACCAGGTGAGGCTCTCACTCAAAAAAAAAAAAAAAAAAAAAAATCAGCAAGTGACAAACGACATTCTCAAGCAGTTTCAGGATAGCAGAGTTTATTGTAACAAAAAATTGGGCATAGCCTTATTATCCAACAACAAAGTATTAGATTAAAAAGAAAACCAGCTGGGCTCGGTGGCTCAGCCTGTAATCCCGCGCCTTTGGGAGGCTGAGGTGAGCGGATTGCCTGAGCCCGCGGGTTCGAGACCCGCCTGGGCAGCAAGACCTCATCTCTACAATAAATCAAAAAATCAGCCGGGCGTGGTAGCGCATGCCTGTAATTCCGGCTACTTGGAAGGCTGAGGCGGAAGGATCGCCGGAGCCCAGCAGGTCGAGGCTGCGGCGGCCGGGAGCGGCCACTGCACTCCAGTCTGGGCGACAGAGTGAGACACCGACTCAAAAAAAAAAAAAAAAAGAAAACCATATTGATATATTCAGGCAGTAGAATACCATAAAACCATTAAATCAATAGCACTAATAATATTTATTGGTGTGAACAATATATTATTGAGTAAAAAAGCAGTATGAATAATAAGATTGTTATCTTAAAACATATATTTATATGCCTGTATGTGAATGGAATGTTGTCATAAAGATAATGATCAAAATTGGATATTTTAGTTATGTCCAAGATGTAAAATATCAAGTGACTTTAGTCTTTTTACTTAACTTTATTTTGTAAATTTCCATGAGGTAACAGTGTTTCATAATTTTAAAAAAGTAATAAAAAGGAAAAAAGTGCTATCATCTGTTAAGCCAAACCTTCAATGGAAAAATAACATCAAGTAGACAACATAATGAAAATGAAATACTAACCTTAAAAATTGTTGTAGGTTCTTCATTAAGATTGACTCGAGTTATTACTCTTCCAGAATCTTCTTCCACATCAAAAATACTGGCAGGATAAGGAAACTGAACATCATCTACTCTATACCTCACACGACTTGCAGGCAATCCCTAAAATGAAATTATAAATTATTAATTTTCTGACACATGATGAAAACAAAGTGATAATATTAAACTGATTTTTAAAATACATGGCCTTTTAGAAGTGAAAAATCAGATTTAATAATTTCATTCTTTCAGGGTTAAAATGTAGCCGAATCCTTATTTTTTAAATACATCTTTTTTTTTTTTTTTTTTGAGTTGGAGTCTCACTCTGTCACCTAGACTGGAGTGCAGTGGCCGCTCCCGGCCACGACAACCTCAATCTGCTGGGCCCCGGCAATCCTTCCGCCTCAGCCTTCCAAGTAGCTGGAACTACAGGCGCGTGCTACCATGCCCGGCTAATTTTTTGATTTATTGTAGAGATGAGGTCTCGCCAAGTTGCCCAGGCAGGTCTCGAACCCGCGGGCTTAGGCAATCCACTCACCTCAGCCTCCCAAAGACACGCAATTACAGGCTGAGCCACCAAACCCGGCACATCTTATTTTCAATAAAATGTTTCTACTAGAGGTTATTTTTAAATACTTTATATGAGAGAAAAATTAATGGTTTCCATGGGCATCTTTTCTATCTCTTTTCTTCAATTATATGAATTACATCTGCCTCAGTCAACAAGACTGGAGTGTAGTGGTACTATGATAGCTCACTGTAACCTCAGACTCCTGAGCTCAACTGATCCTCCCACATCAGCCTCTTGAATACTTGGGGTTACAGGCAGCCTCCATCATACCTAGCTAATTATTAATTTTATTTTATATTGTAGAGATGGGTTTTGCTATGTTGCCCTGGTTGAACTCGAACTCTTGGCCTCAAGTGATCTCCCTGCCTGGGGCTCCCAAGTGCTGGGATTTCAAATGTAAGCCAACAGACACAGCTCCTTATATTTCATCTTCTAAGACAATGATAAGAATTTTTACTGTACATAATTGAATTGTTTGATACTCAGAGAATGTTGGAGTATGGGGGATTGTGGTAAAATATAGGAATGAGCATGAATGAGTAGGAAACAAATATTTTTCCCATTAATTCTGTGCTGATTATATATTAGGTATCTACATAAATCACTAAAATTAATCCTCATGATAATAACTTTAAGAAGACATTAATAATTAAGATGATAACAATAACAGTAAATTAATGATAGCTAACACTTTTTGAATGCACATGATGTAACAAGAACCATGCTAAAGATATGGATACTCTATTACTCATTTTATAGTTAATTTACTTGAGGCTTATAGCACATTAAAGAATGCTGAATTGTTTTAGAGATAGGTAAAAAAAATCAAAACACAGAACAAAAAACATTCCTTTCTAAAGAAAGAGATTAAAATTTGATAATTTTCACAAAGAATCAATGTGATTATAATGAAAAAATTAAAATTATATTGGATGTCTTCACTTATATTAGGGTTTAGATTGGTTTCATTTGGAATTATATAGCATGAAACTGGAGTGAGAACTATAATCTCTTCAGTCTTTAGAGCATATAAATCTCTTAAGACCTAGACGTCAAGTAATCAATTCAAGTAGAGAACTAGTATGTGGTAGGGTTTGACTAAAACCTAGGCACTACATTACAACATTAAATTTTTTAGAGAAAGAAACACCTGTATTTGACATTATTCTGATGCAGAAAAAATAAATACATTGTCCACAGGCTGCTAATTTGGTTGGATTTAATGATATTTCAGTGCAATAATAGTTTTGAGAACATTGTTCTTTGAATCATCATCTTCATGACAATCCTTTAAAATAATTTGTTGTTCCTGTTGGTTCCTAAGTAACAGTTGGGCAAAAAGATAATTATATTAGCCTTAAAGACTTTTATATTTCCCTAATTATTTGTAAGTCCAGTCCTTTTGGATACTACACATTACCATTGATCACCATCTCCTTGAACATACACTTTTTTTTTTTTTTACTTCTACTCTTCTGCCTTTCCTTTTTGCTACCTGACTGCTCTGTCTCAGACTCTGCTTGCTTTCCCTTTTGGCTACTAAATGCCAAGATTCTCAAGGTTCTGTACAATAATTTCAATCTTCTCTTCCTCTACCCTAGGTCACAAGAAACTTTCTCAGTCCCATGTGTTTATATATCTTCCATTTGTTCATATTCCCAAATTTTAATTTCTGGCTAAACTGAACCCTTAACAAGTATATGCATTTGTCAACCAGATATTCTATTTTCAACTCAACATATCTGAAACCAGAATAATATTTTCTTTCCCCCAATTTGTACCTTCCCCACTCTAGGTAAATGACTTCACCTTTTATCATGGCATTCTGTTTCAAATCCTAGGGATATCATTGATCCCTTCTCTTATACTTTATGACCATATCTGGATCACATTCTGCCAATTCCTCAATGAATGCATGACCTAATGTCTTCTCATTTCTCTTTGTCATCTATTTTCTGCAGTAGATTATTGATTGGCTTTCCTCTTCCATTCCATCAAAGTTAAAAACATAAATCCTGCTTAAATCCCTTCAATGATTTTCATTATACACAAAAATAAAATCCAAACTCCTTATTATAGGAAATCCAATTATTAAAACATCTGGATTCTGCCTACCTAACTTCTACTTCTTGCTAATTCCTCTTTCACACATTGTCCTTCTTCTTGTCTCATTGCCTTTTTCTTTGGTCTGCTACACTCATCTCTCAAATGTTCATCTACTACATTTACACACTTACACCTACATTTACCCACGTATTCCCCAGAACCTCACTAATAACTCCCTCTAAATTATTATCTTCAAAAATTTATTTTTTTCAGCAACCCTAGCTGAAATCACAGCATATATTTCATGTGTTTGCTTGTTTACTGTTTGTCTCTCACATAAGAATAAAAATTTACTAGGGTAGGGACTCTAGCTGAACAATTGAAAGGGCCCCGACTCAAAATAGGCACTCAAGGGGCATTTGACTGGAGGCATCAATTAACGAAAAGCCATGCAACTAGGATGCCCAGTTACTTCAATTGATATTTAAAGTGTTTGCATATTGCAGGAATTTGAAGATATAGAATAATGGAAAAACTTTGAAATGATGTTAGGGAACTGCAAGCTGTGGGATCGTAGTTGCTTATAAACCACTGGATGTCAGTTCAACCACTGGGTAGGCATAGAAAAAGACCTATTATTTAGAAAACTTGTTGCCTATTTGAACAGAATCAAACTTACAATCATATGCAATAGCTGACCTTGTATAAAATGTGCCTGGGAAAAAGTGAGGTATTTGCAGACTATGTGGTAGTACTTGGGACATAATGTTAAGCAATGTTAGCAACTTTGTTTGCATTTTAACAATAATAATAATAACAAGAGTTGTTAGCAATTGATTTGAGTGTTTTACTACGTATCCAACTGTGTGCATTACATGTATTATCATATCTATACTTACAAAAAATTCAGGAATTGGTATGAATAGTACCTACATTTTTTAAAATAATAAAATCAAGCTTTAGAACAAATTTATTTCCTAAAATTTCCTTAGCTAGAAAATGGCAGTTATTATTTGAACAGACTTGCCTCATACTAAAATATGTCTTTGAACAATAAACCAACTTAATATTTATTCATAATAGAATAAAGACAATAGTCTTTTATTAGGGAAAATAATATGACAGTGCAACTGAGCACAGTTACTTGGAAAAGATGCTTCAAAATTTGAAGCCCTAGTAAATCTTGCCTTAGTATGCCGTCTAGAAGGCTATATAGCAGGTGCTCCAAGTCACCTCTAGAAAAGAGGTAAATCATGAAAGAGCAAAATTATAGCATCAAGTGTTTTAAGAACAAATTGTCAGAGTTTTTGCTGACATCAATACTCACTCAGTCTGTAGTACAGTAACTAAAATTACTTATGACAATCACAAATTGACTTTGAAGAAACTTAAAATATATTAATGATACTTGTCATGCTCTTTTTACTAAAGCCAAGGTGCTTGTAGTACACTTAGAATTATGCCTTTAGTTCTTAACATAAAAAAAAATGATATCCAGAACATCCTAGAACTTTTCTAGAGGATTGTTACAAATAGTATTGTATATACATGAATGGGAACATGTATGTCACATATTAGCTATATCAATAAACTTTTTATTCTATGATTTTCATTATTCTATAGATGACCAGCACATCATAAATGTGTGACTCTGATAGGACTTGGTTAGTCTGTAAAAAACATTTTATTTGCTTCTTTTATCACCCTTGTTATCAAAGCAACATATTGTATTTCATATCATATTGTAGGATGGTTGAGCAAAATACCTAAAATAATTTAGACTTTTCTTTGAGCATATTCAAAAGTTTTGTATCTTTCTCTCCCTTCTTCCTTTCTTCTTTCTCTCTACTCATCCTTTCTCCCCTCTCCCTTTCCCTGTTTTCTTTTCTTCTTTCCAAAGTCTTTTAATATAGTCTTGGTTTTAAAGTTAAATAGCTAAGCTATAGGTAATGTATGTAATTGACTTTGGGAAATAGCTTTAATCAAAAGTCCTAACATTGTCCCTGGAATATTTACAATGTGAACAGGTCAAATGAATGATCTTAAGAGGTCATAAAAATTATCGTGTCCTTACTCTTGGGAATAAATGCCATTTTGAAACTCAGAATTTCAAGCATAGCTAATAAAACAAATTATTGTTTATCATTAGTATTTATCATTAGTATTATTTATTAGTATTTATTAAATATCTTTTTATACCTGATTCCATTAAAATGTAATAAGTATGATCAAAGTATTCTAATGAACAAAAGTCATTCTGAATTATATTTTTGAAACAAACATAAAATAGTCATTTGAGTTTATAAATCACATATTTTAAAATTATGATATAGGTGACATAACTTTGAAATAATCATTTAGATAAATATTAATTTACCAAATATTTGCTTTAACTCTAAATTGTACTGGAAATAGAAGGATTCCCCCTTTACTCTTAAATATTCCCAATAAGTTGATATTTCTTCCAATAAAACACTTTAAATAATCATATTTATATTTCTTTTTT